CACGATTGCTGCGGACCCACTTCCCACGCTACTAATACAAATTCTTCTTTAATTCCGCCATCCCAAGTAAGGGGTCATATGTGGCCATGTAGACAATTCGTTCATCTTTGAGTGTATTAATTGTTTTGTAGATCATTGTGAACGAAAACAGGGAACGACTCAAACCATATGCGCGGTTGTGCCAATTCCTATTTTACAGTGATGAAATCAAGACATCAGTTGACCGTATTTCATTCTGTGCCCTAACCCAACACGCGCGATAGGCTCCTTTGCACTGCGACGTCCTGTGACAACAACAGCAACTCGGAAGCACGGTGTACTGTGTGTTTCTTTCCCAGATACATTGCTCAGTGTGGCAAAACATAACAACTTTGTCGCTGTGCGCGACCCTCCGGTTATCGTATGATATTAGTGTAGACAATTCTTTCCTACGTACCCGTAGACACAACAACACATCCTTGAGTCGTCTATTGTACATTTCCTCACTGTTGACCTTATTCAATCCCTGCCTGGTATCGTGGCTGTTGAAATGAAAAACTTCGCATGTTTGACCTGTAGCCACCTTGTATGAGCCGATGGTGTGAGTGTCGCGTGTAGCATCCGTATGTGTAAGGTGTTGTCCTTTGAACTTCAGTCTCCGTTATTGTGACAATACTGTGTGTGCGTGCGTGTGGCTGCGGTACCATGGTGACGAGCTTTGTATACAGCAATTAGAAACTTACTGGTGTGTGTGTTACGATTTGTTGCAAGCCGTAATATATATACACGCAGAGTCATCAAAATTTATTACGTATTTATTACCGTGATTTCTGTCATGACGTTGCTCCATAGCATATCGCATTCGCGCGACTTGAAGCACGACGCACCAACTGGATTTTTCATCAATCTTCGATTTACACCATCGATCTCTCTCGATTAAATTAAATTGATCTATAACCGAATTTTACTCACTCTTTCAATTTCTATTCGACATCGTACGAACTATACTCACTAACGATACTATTGCCGATTATAACATACTCCTTCGAGCATTTCACCGATCTGTCTAGTTTTCAATTGAACAGCTATTCCGAGTCTCGCTTAAGTGACTCTATGATTGTATTGATCTTCAAGCCGCTCTCTATTGCCTCTTCAATTTTCAGTCCAATATGATTATCTTTCTCTCAATTCTCTTTCATCACATCCTTTTCAAATCTTTACATTCTTCTTAATTTTATATGTTTCGATTCGTCTCGAATCTTTTTAAACTCCGATCTCTCCGTTCGCGTTTGGTCGTACTCTCTGGCCGCCACACGCGCACGCCGCACGCCGTGTCGCCTCGATCTCGGTAGACACCTGAACGCTTCGCGGTTGCCTCGTTCATCACTTACCATGTTGCGGACCGTACTCGCGTATCGTAGCGCCGCTTATGTCTTTTTCGCACACTCTCAGGGACTGCAGTTTTTCCTGTTGCAATGTGCTTCTTTAAGAGTTCTATTAGGCGTTCTCTCCTTCCCATCGGTCTGCCGTGCGTGCCCGCTAGAGACGTGCCCTCGAAAGCGCATGCTGTGCAGAACTCACCGCCACCCCCCTCCCCGCCATCTTTCTCCCGCTCCCCTGCTAATACAGTCTCATTCCCCCCCGTCGGGCCAGGCAACGGCAGTATCACACGGGATGGCTTTGGACACTGAGGCGGGCGGAGTGAGAGACGTCGGAAAGTGACCACCGGCTGCTCCGACATACCTTGATTGATCCGTGTGAGTCGTTCTGCCGGTCCGCGCCGCTGTGCATACATCTGGCAGTGCGTAACGTTACCTGTAATTTGTTACATCATAGTCACGTGCGTGTCGTGCGCGAGCTGTCGTGCATGATTCGGGGCAGGTATGATAGCGGCAGTCGCGGCCCGGGCGTTGGCACGGCAGTCAAAGAAATAAGCGACAATAAATACTATATCAGAAGTAGATCTAATTCTTATACAATATACTTTGATATATATATATGTTATATATGTGTATAATATAGTATATTATTATGTGTGCTGTGTGTGTGCGTGTGCGTGTGCAGTGGTCGTGTGCCCTGAGTGTGCAGTTGTGTGGCCGTGCGGTGTGTGCGTGCGCGCGTGCGAGTTGCGCTCGCGGTGCGTGTTGTGCGTGCGGTTGCGTACCTGCGCGTGCGTGAGTCCGTGAGAATGGATCATGTAAGTCCTGTGTTTGAACCCTGGTGAATTCACCTACACACTATATCCCTCATCTTACCCGCCCCCGCCCTCGCCGCCTCACCCCCGCCCCCCCTCACACACACACATACACACACACACACTCTATGCACGAGCGGACACACAACCGACACACACTACACTGCTAGTACGCACCGCGTAC